TGCGTCGAGTCATGTCCACGTCTCACCTAGTTAGGGGTGGGGTCAAATCACCCTTCATCAATTGCCCCCCACTCCTTGAGCAAGGGGTTTTTCCCTGGTGCGGGGAGTTCATGAAGTGATGGGCGGATTTGACCCGCAGTTCAAACTGTCTTGTTGGACCGCATGAGGTGTACGCGCGGATGTCACGCGATTATAGATCCTACGGCCGCCAAAAAACGCGCTAAACTATTTTTGGTCTCGGAGAACGTGCAACCGGTTTTGCTGTGGGCCATTGGATCATTTTAATCGGGGCCGTTGCTTTTCAGGCACAATGGCTATAAATAGGAGGGCCCCAGATCTCATTTTTTCGTACCAACCATCCTTGCTTTCGGCTCTGAGGTCGTGCCTTCACCTTGCTTGCTCGAGTTCCTTCCGTTTGTGTCATTCTTTTCAGCCCGTCTCCTTCAGTGAGTTCCTCTTGCCTTACTCAATTATGTCTGGGTATCCGTATGATGGTGTCTGTTCTCGGGCTGACAGTCGGGGCAAAGCCCCCTCGAGATCGGGGGGAGCTCGGGAACTTCGCAAGGGGCAGTCTCCGAAGACTCGGGAAGCTTCTGGTAACCTGGCTTCCACTTCCCGAAATCAGGAGCTGAACAGTTTCGGTCCTTCTTCTATGTCGATGGAGAGACTTCGGGCCCTGGTCTTTCAATACGACCTCCCTAGGGAGCTTCTCTACAGCCTTCCAACCGGTAATTATCCTTGGGAGCACGGTCACAACAAAATTGTGATCTTCGAGGAACAGCTCGCGGCTGGTCTTCGCCTTCCCCTGCACCCTTTGATAGTAGAAGTTCTCACTCATTTCAATGTCACCATAAACCAGTTGCACCCGAATTCTGTTCCGAACTTAGTTGGACCTATTTCTTTGTTTTTCGAGTACTGTCTTCCTCTCTCTCTCTCTCTTTCTTGATATTTTTGTCTCTATCTTGTCGATCAAGAATGCTTCTCCCGGAGCCCTTGCAAATAGGGGTTCCTATTATTTTTCACCCCGTCCTGGCATCAAACTCCTCCATGGGTTGCCCAACAGGATCCCGGCCTGGAAGCGGGGCAACTTTGTAGTCCATAATCCCGAGGGGTGGCCCTTCCCGACCCATTGGAGGGTTGCCATCCAAGATCCGGGCGCTAGCTTGGATCCAAAGACGAAGGAAACGCTACAATCCTGGGCCAAGATCGGCTTCCTCTACACGGACTACTTGGCCGAGGACAAGCTCGTGCAAGTCAGCCTGAGCCTCGGTAGGTTACCTTTAGGGTTTTTTTTTCGAACTGGGCTAACACCTCTTTGCTTTTGCAGCTGCAATGTCRGACGTGGACACACGCCGCCTCCTGTCAAACTCCAAGAGGGGCCATCGTAGGGCRAAGAGGTTTCGCTAGGACGAAGCATCTTCTTCCCGGGCCACTGAGTTCGAGGCCACGGACCCGTCTTTCGTTCCACCACCGGAGGTCCCACCCACATTTCCCGAGGAGGTAGCCGCGGAAGGCGGTGAAGGAGAAGCCCCTGCACCGACCGGCCCCTCTGCCATGCCGGCGTTCCCCACCGAGGGGCGTGATGAAAGTATCACCAATCCCGTCCTAGCCACACGGAGGAGCTGGGACTCAATCTTCCATGAGGAGATGGCGGAGTGGTCGAAGATACACCCTAGGCGGCTTCTGGGGCTGGCCTCGACTCACTGTATGGTGGTAAGTACCTTCCATTCTTCTCCCCCCCTTTTCTTTTGTTTAGTTACCCCGGCTCTCTATTGGCAGTTGAACTCTACCCTCCATGTTATGGCCTGTCAGACGACCGTTCACTCCAGGGATGCCACCGCCTAGAGGACAGAAGTGTCGAGGCTCAATCGCGAGCTAGACCAGGCCCGGGGTAAGGTCCTCTAGGTCAAGAAGGGGAGCGAGGCCCAGGGGCAGCTCATTCAGGACTAGGAAGCGCAAATCTCTAGGCTGATGGAGGAGAACGCCCGTTACAAGGAGGAGACCTCAAGGACGGCTGAGGACAGGGAGCGCCTTCGTTAGGAGGTTCGAAGTCTGGAAGCCACCCTCCATGAACGAGCTCAAACCTTTGATGCTGCCGTGGAGGAGGAATGGGTCAAGGCCGTGGACCGCTTCAAAGAGTCCCCGGAGTTTCGCGACTTCTAGGTCGAGTACGGCACGAACTCCTACCACTCGGGGTTCAAGCTCTGCCGGTACCTGGTCCGGAAGAAGTTTTCTGACCTTAGTCTTGACGGCATTACCATGAAGGGCCTGGTCCCTGAGACGGCGGATGCAGCGGAGGAGGAAGAGCCCGATTCCCTAGAGGAGACCTATGAGGACGTGGAGGTGCTGGATCCTTGATGTTGGGGTGTTTCTTGATTCTTCTCTCTTTCTTTTCTGATCTCTKGATGCATGTTCTTGGGTGGTTGAGCCCGGTTTTTTCCTCTTTTTCTTTCTCTTTTTGATGTACAACGGCCTAGTTTTTTATGAAGAACCTCAGTATTTGACGAAATATTGTTTTTTTTTTGCTTAGAATGGTTCCTTTCTGATCCAAGTCATACGTATATAGGTTACCCGAGCCGTCGAGCTGCTGAGCTGGCAACAAACGAGGGTAACCRAAGCGGGAGTCACTCCAAATTATGCGAGTTACCCCGAACTATCAGTTCTACCKGTCTTGGTAGTAAGAGTAACCTTAGTAAGATTTTTCTAAGTTTCTTGCTGCGAGCTGTCTGCATTTTTTACTTTAGCGGGCGAGGCGGTGAGGTCTTACGCTTTGCTTGAAGCCACCGTTAGTTCGGTTTCATAGCCCTTAGGCTCGGGGAATGACTCGGAGTCCACTCCTAAGCTTTGCCCATGTCGTGAAGGCGACTGGGGCTTAGTTCGCCCATGCCCTAGAGACGAATGCGACTTAGTTTGCCTATGCCATAGAGGCGATTGGGAATTAGTTCGCCCATGCCGTAGAGGCGACTGGGASTTAGCTCGCCCATGCCATAGAGGCGATTGGGAATTAGTCCACTCCTAAGCTTTGCCCATGTCGTGAAGGCGACTGGGGCTTAGTTCGCCCATGCCCTAGAGGCGACTGGGGCTTAGTTCGCCCATGCCCTAGAGGCGAATGGGACTTAGTTTGCCCATGCCATAGARGCGATTGGCAATTAGTTCGCCCATGCCATAGAGGCGACTGGGACTTAGCTCGCCCATGCCATAGAGGTGACTGGGAATTAGTTCACCCATGCCATAGAGGCCACTGGGACTTAGTTCGCCCATGCCATAGAGGCGACTGGGACTTAGCTCACCCATGCCATAGAGGCGACTGGGACTTAGTACTGCCTTAGGTTTCTAATGTTCTAGGGTCAGGGTACTTGCTTTCCTTCCAACGTTTCGAGCTCGTACGTACCTTCCCCGAGTATTCGCTTTACCCGGTAGGGACCTTCCCAGTTCGGCCCCAGCTTACTCGCTCCGAGCTCAGGTACCATTACTTTTCGGAGGACCAGGTCCCCTACATGGAAGTGCCGCTTCCTGACCCGGTTGTTATAGTACCGAGCCACCTTTTGCTGGTATGCTGCGGTCCGAATATACACGAGGTCCCGTACCTCTTCTATTAGGTCGAGGTTGGTGCGGAGCTCATCATCGTTGGCCTCTTTGTCCTATGCTTCTAATCGTAGCGTAGGCACC